ACAATCCCTCAAACGCTTCTCTTCGAGTACAAACAACAGCATTTCTAGACTCAGGCTCAAGCCACTCTTACATCACTAACGATATAGCCGAAATTTTGCAACTACCCACGCTTTTCAAGGAGACGATCTCGGTTTCTACCTTTGGAAGCAAAAATCTTCTGCGACTGAAATCGAGAAACCACAAAATCGGCATCAGCACCAATCAAGGAGGAAAGGTACTCGAAGTGAAATCCCTACCTACAATCACGAGAAACTTCGCGCAAATCCAGCATGCTCAAGGTGTTCAAACCGCCGAGTTTGTACTTTCAGATTGCAAACCATCACTTCTTATCGGCAGCGATTACTTTTGGGAAATGATCTTGTCGTATGACTTCTACGTGAAAATCCTAACCTCTGGATGCCACCCACTTAACACCAATTTGGGCAACATCCTCACAGGCAAGCTACTAGGCCTAAAAGACTCCAATAAATGCACAAGTCTTTGCGCTCGTAACGATATTTCCAACCCAATCCACCACGACAAACTCACTGAACTTGTCAGCAAATTTTGGAATCTGGAATCAATAGGCATCACAGATGATCCTACATAAAAAGACGATGATATATGCCTATATGCCTTCAGCGACACGGTTTCTTTCGATTCGAAGGAAAAAAGATATATCGTCAAGCTTCCGTTCAAATCCAACCCCTCTACGCTACCGGACAACTACACCATGGCTTACTCCAGATTGAGTAGCTTGGTAAAATCTTTAAGCAGAAATCCAAGCTATATGGAAGAGTATAACAAGATTTTCAAGGAGCAGCTCGAACGAGGAATCATTGAACAGGTCCCAAAAATGGATCTACTAAAACACTCTCATTACCTTTTGCATCATGGCGTGATCAAGCAATCCAGCGAAAAGTTGAAAATTCGCTGCGTATTCGACGGTTCAGCAAAACTGAAAGGAAGCCCGAGTATAAACGAGATTTTATACCGAGGATCCGTACTACTTCCAGATTTCACGGGGATCCTAATACGCTGCCGTTTCTCGGCGATTTTGATCACCAGCGATGTTGAAAAGGCATTCCTGATGGTAGGCCTTCATCCCGACTGCAGGGATTACACTCGCTTCTTATGGCTGAATGATGTGTC